TGAACCTGTAGCGCCTTCAAATGACAAAAATAAAAATGGGAATAGAGAACAAAAAACAGAAATGCAGGTGTATTCGAGAAGGAACCGAACTCAAGAAAAAAAGACCGAAGATTCTCAACATTGCCAAAAATCAGTCCCACAAGACCTTACTGTAATTCAAGGTACTCTTCCAACTGATTCTATTTCTAATTCCTTAGATCTAGATCTACCTATTGCGAAACGCAAAGGTGTTAGAAATACTTCTAAATATCCTATTTCTATGTTTGTGTCCTACAAAAAGTTGTCTCCTAGTTATTCAGCCTTTACTTCACAACTCTCTAGTGTGGAGATTCCAACAAATGTGCAGGATGCTCTACAAGTTCCCGAGTGGAAGGAGGCTATTTTGGAGGAATTGCGAGCTCTTGAAAAAAATGAGACATGGGAGTTAGTGGATTTACCCGAGGGAAAGAAACCAGTGGGTTGTAAATGGGTGTTCACCACCAAATTCAAATCAGACGGATCCTTGGAAAGGTATAAGGCCCGCCTAGTAGCTAAGGGATTCACGCAGACATATGGCATTGACTATCTCGAGACGTTTGCTCCAGTAGCTAAGCTAAACTCAATTAGAGTTCTGTTGACAATCGCAGTAAATCTCGACTGGTCTCTTTAGCAATTGGATATGAAGAATGTTTTCTTGAACGGGCACCTAGAGGAAGAAGTCTATATGGATCCCCCACCAGGTTTTGAAGGGAAGTACAAGTCAAAGATATGCAGGCTTAGAAGATCTCTTTATGGTCTAAAACAATCTCCAAGGGCTTGGTTCGAAAGGTTTACTCAATTTGTGAAAAAGCAAGGGTATGTGCAGGGACAAGCAGATCACACAATGTTTACTCGACATTCACTGGAAGGAAAAACAACCGTTCTTATAGTGTATGTTGACGATATTATCCTCACAGGAGATGATGTGGTTGAGATAAAAAATCTAAAGGAACGTCTTGCCTCAGAATTTGAGATAAAGGACTTAGGCCCGCTAAAGTACTTTCTTGGCATGGAGGTTGCATGATTGAAGAAAGGAATTATAGTGTCACAAAGGAAGTATGTTCTTGATCTGTTAAAAGAAACTGGAATGAGTGGTTGTAGACCAATTGAAACTCCAATTGATCCAAACCTGAAGTTTGTAAAGGAAGGAAAATTGATTGATAAGGGCCAATATCAGAGATTGGTAGGCAAGTTGATTTACTTGTCACATACTAGACCTGATATTTCCTTTGCTGTGAGCCTAGTCAGTCAGTTCATGCATTCTCCACGAGAAGAACACCAAGAAGCTGTGTATCGAATCCTAAGGTATCTAAAGAGTTCACCTGGGAAAGGTTTGTTCTTCAAGAAGAACGAGCAAAGAAGTGTTGAGGCTTATACGGATGCAGACTGGGCTGGTTCATCTATTGATAGGAGGTCTACATCTGGATATTGTACATTTGTTTGGGGAAATTTGGTGACATGGAGAAGTAAGAAGAAAAATGTGGTGGCTCGAAGTAGTGCTGAGGCTAGGTATCGATCCATGGCACACGGAATTTGTGAAATATTGTGGCTCAAGAGATTTTTTGGAAGAACTAAGAAGATCCGTGAGTTTTCCAATGAAGTTGTATTGTGACAATAAGGCTGCCATAAGCATTGCTCATAATCCAGTTCAACATGATAGAACAAAGCATGTTGAAGTGGACAGACACTTCATTAAAGAGAAGATTGAAGATGGAAGTGTGTGCATTCCTTTTGTGCCAACAACAGAACAAGTTGCAGATATTTTCACAAAAGGTCTTTTCAGAACTAATTTTGAGTCCTTTGTGAGCAAGTTAGGCATGTTTGATATTTACATGCCAACTTGAGGGGGAGTGTTGAATGAGTAGGCAGATTTAGTCATAATCTGCTCCACCATTGAGCTGGCAGATTTGATTATAATCTGCTCCACAAATAAAGCTGGAAGATTTGATTAGAATCTGCTCCTGTGAATATGGGATTAGAATATATTATTCTAGGAAAATAGTTTAGAGGAAATCCCTTGATTCAAGGATTTCCTAAGAATTAGGGATTGATTAGTTTATTTGGTCTTTACTTGTTCTCTTATAAATACTGTACAAACACTATCAATAAAATATACTTTTGCAGTATCTAAACAATTAGGGATTGATTAGTTTATTTGGTCTTTACTTGTTCTCTTATAAATACTGTAGAAACACCATGAATAATATACTTTTCCAGTATCTAAACTTTCAGCTTCAATATCTAGAGCCATAGGTGAGAAAGATTAAGAAGAATGAAATGGATCTTACGTGGAGCTTATCGGAACTCTGATACCATATAAAGATTCAGAGAAGGAGATGATTCTATTAAATCTGGCAGCAAGCTTGTAAATACATAATATACAACTAACTGGACCTAAAGTGTAGGCCACTATCTGCACAATCTACAATTACTAACTGAAGTTAATGGCTAACTATTCATAAATATGCTCCAAACCTCAGGAGACTTATTCAACCTATAACAACTAGTAACAAGAGATAAATAAAGATAGTTAATAGTTTCACCTTTCCATTCTAGAAATAGACTTTATATTGATCTAGAATAGACCTTTTTTTCTGTAAAAAGAGTGAATATCCAAGCAGCTTATATTGGTTTTCATATCTCAAAACTTAGCTTTACCTAGTTTTTTCTGTTGCTTGGCACGTTCTACAGATTCTTGGATCTGTCGGTCGTGCTCTCTAATTATTCGATCCACATCAATTGGTTTTGATGCAGATGAAAGTGGACCACAATAATGGTTGTCTTCCAGGAAGTTAAGGCCATCTGATTCTGCAGGAGGCAACAATTGTTCAATAAGTTGGTTCTTCTCTAGCTTGGAGTTATTTCCTTCCCCTTCCGCCTTTTTTTCCTTGTCAAACTTAGCCCAGTGCTTTCTTGGTAATCCCTGCATATTGGTTGATGGACCTACAGAATGACTCTTCTTTCCATTTGAGTCATGGACATTTACTTTAGCTATTAATCCCTTCTCTAGCCTCCCACGTGTAACAGCTTTGAGGATCGTGTCATTACACTCTCTGAGTAAATCCTGCATTTTGTCTGATTCATCAGGTGATGGACCTGTCCACTTCTTCTTTCCCTTTATGTCATGGTAATGAATTGGTTCTTTCCATACTACTCTCTGATTATCACTTTGATGGGTAGTAGCAGACCTCTGAGTATAAGAATTTGTTCATTCATTTAGAACTCCTCCTGAGACTTTTTCATTTGTTTTTTCAAGCCTATTCCTGAGTCGTCTTCTGTCTACTGATCGCTGTAATCCTGCATTAAATTCCCTAATCATCTTGGTTTCTTTAGCATCCATCTCATTTCTGGGAGGGCATCGTGGCAAACTTAAAGGATCACAAGCAAATGGTTCTGTTGTGAAGAACTCACCCTGAAGAGCAAGAGCTGCAGTTCCTCGATATTCAGGTTCTATGGAAAGTAAAGTGTCCATCAGTCCTACAGCAGCAGCAGGAAGATCATGAAAGGTTGCTTGAATTTGTCGTCTATAAGGCATTTGCGGCTTTAAAATTGATGCATTAGGTAAGTCAGATTTTAGCCAACATTCATCAGATGGAGAACCACAAAGCTTGAAGTTATAATACAATTACTCAAATTCAGTTTTACCAGGCATAATAGGCTTGCCAGTAAATAGTTCACCAAGTACACAACCAACACCCCATAAATCAACTCCAACTCCATAATGATTTAATCCAAGCAAAAGCTCTGGTGGCCGATACCAGAGAGTCCCAATAATGTTAGTTAAGGGAATGCTTTGTTCTGGATCAAAAAATGTTGACAGCCCAAAATCTGCAATTTTCAAGATACCATCTTTATTAACTAACAGGTTAGAAGTCTTTACATCTCGATGCAAGATACCACGGCTATGGCAGTGATCAAGCCCTTTAAGCAGCTGGTTCATGTAACATTTGATCTCAGGTTCAGATAACTTGACACCTTTCTGTTCTTGAATTCCCTTGAGATCATATTCCATGCAATCAAAAACAAGGCTGCACGCCATTTTAGAGGGGACTACACCTTCCAGCTTGATAACATTCGGGTGATCACCGAGCCTTCGCAATAAGACAATCTCTCTCGCCATAAACTTGAAGCTGCCGGGATCAAGATTGTCAGCACAAACCTTTTTCAAGACAACAATCTTATTGTGCAAACAATCGCGAGCTTTGTAGACATTACTGTAACTTCCTTGGCCAATCTTATGTATCTTCTCGAAAGTATCAGGTGTTCTTGGAAGCCATCCAATTAAAGCTTCACTAGCTACATCAACAAGCCATTTAGGCCATCCAGCAGCAACTAGTTCACTTTCTAAGCCTTTTGGTACTCCTCTGCTGAGTCTTGGATTCAGTCTATTTCTCGTGGTACTACTGTTTTCTTCCTTCTGGTCTGTCATTCATTGAAATTGTCTCAGCTTTTTACTAGATATTCCTTAAGCATGATGTGTATAAGATTTGCCAAGAATGTGGGGGGAAAAATAGATACAACAATAACAATTACTACGAACTACGCCTCAATCTCAAAACAAGTTAAGGTGAACTATATGAATCCTTATAAATACATATGATAAAATTAAGCAACTACTACACCTTAGTCCTTAACAAGTCGGGGATCGGCTATATAACTGCCCATTTTTTAATCTAAGCTCATATCATATCAAAGCATAGATATTTGATTTGTGCATGTCATACTATATGCTAAATGTTTTCTGTATCTTCTGAAAATAAAAGGACAGATGTTGGTTCACCTTCAATGCCTTTTGTTACTTCTCTGTTGAGTCCTGATTTGGTGATGAGGCTTGCTTTAACTGATTCATCTCTGTTACTTGAAAATTTTCCATGACTGGAACCCATAGTTTTCCAATCTAATTAAGTCTTCTTTTACATTAAGTTAACAACACACACTGTTAAGTATTCTTTCCTACTACTAATGAGAAAACCAATCCAAGGGAGTTGACTTCATAAAACCAATTATAATGATAGGTTGAGTTGTCCTATCAGTTTCCTATAAATAATCAATTTGCAAAAACATACTTGTTACTCCTTTTCCTCTGTCCCAAAATAAGTGTCGTTTTGGCAATAATTTTTTTTATCTCAAAATAAGTGTCAACGTAGGAATTCAAAACAAAAATATTTAAGTTTTAAGAAGTTCAACATAATATTAGTTTGGCATAATACATGTAAACCTGCACTTTAACTTGGTCTTAGTTAGCATCTATGTAACAGAGTACGTACCACTGTTGTAAATATGGATGAGTTATCTTCAGTTAATTTAGGCTTTAAGTTTGTAAAGTTTATTATTCAACTAGGGTAGGTCACGTAAGTTTATCGGTTCCTATTTTCTAGAAGTTAGGTTTGCACAATTTGTTTTGTTGGCATTGTATAATATATAACTTCAATTGGAGACTCATTAATAAACAAACAATTCCATTCTACTTCTGTGCAATTATACCATGTCGTTCAACTTTGAATATCACAATCCTACACGACAATTCACGTGAGATATACTTGGATTGATTTGAATCATGTCATGTAGGTTTATGTCATATCATAGAATTTTGAGAGTTAATCAATATTTTTTAATTTAAGTTGTTAATTATTAGTATGATTTATAGTACTTTTAATGTAAGTTGCAAATATATACATTATTAAAAATATTTTTACTCCTATTTCAATTTATGTAGCACAAATTAAATAAAATTTGTAGAGTCAATCAAAATTTTCTTTTAACGTAATTTTCTTAATATGTCATAGGCTCAATATATGTTACTTCATTCATCCAATTTATGTGACGGAGATAGAATTTCAAGGATCAATAGAAATTTTTTTTTGTAACCATACTTTTTTCATTATTATAAGTTGTTAATTATTGCGATTTATAATATTCTAAATGCAATTTGCAAATATATAAACTATTGGAAATGTCTTCACTCTGTGGTACAAATGATACTTGGAAAGTCAATCAAATTTTTATTTGACCGTAATTTTTTTATATAATTTCTTACAAAATTAAGTTATTACTTGTTGTGATTTATAATACATTTTACATAATATAAATTATTGAAAATTCCTTTTATTTAATTTAATACTTAAATGATGTAAATACCCTTAAGTACAATTATATTTCCACAAAGCACACATATTGACAAAGACATGTGTACTTGTAGAGTCTTCTACTATTGTACAATACGTTCAATTTATAAATTTCTAGATATCATGGTGACCTCAATACCCACATAATGTTACTTGATTATAGATAAACATGAAGGCCTCGACGGTCACACATAATTTAATTTCTATTCTATATGAATATCATAATTAGCCGAATTTATTAGATGTTATGTTGCTATGAGCCTTGCCGACTCATAACTTATTTTTCGAGTCAAGATATATACATTTTTTTTTTTTATCATTATTTTTTCACCTGATATCCGAAGCCCACATTGAAGGACTAAATCTGAATCGCGCTCGCAGGGCCCATTTGCAGTTATCTAGCAAGGGTCGACTCGGGTCTAACCCACAAAAAGTCACGAGTTCCTTCAAAAGGCCTTTTCTTTTTCATCAGCGTTCAGTACCGAAAACCCTTTGTTGCTTCTCTTCCCCCAATTCACTTTTCTGCAAAAAAAAATTGGGTGAAGAGTGATATGGAAAGGGCAACAGAGAAAGAGATTGGTAGTAGTAGTACTAGTAGTAGTAGTAATAGGAAACAAATCCCAGATTCAGTGATGGAAGCAGTGAACAGAACCTCAAAAAACATTGACGATTTGAGTAGTAATGTAGACGAATTTCTATCTCTTTATGGCGCTGGTGTTTTTCCCGATTTGGGTCCTCTTCAACAAGCTCAATCTTTGATTTTGCTAGCTAAAGCTACAACAACACTCTTTGCATGTAATTTTTTTACTCTTTTTTCTTGTGAATTTTGAGATGTTGATATGTTTGTACGAGTAAATATTGTTTTTTGATTGGTTACAGTGAGGCTTAGGTGTAAAGGGATCAACCCAGATGACCGCCCTGTCAAATTAGAGTTTGTATGTGTTCTTCCTGGAGATTCTGCTTTTGCTATTCTATGGTGTTCTATTTTTTATAATTTTTGTTCCTCGGATAATAGTAACCCTTTTGGTTGTGAGGGTTTAATTGGTTGATTTGGTGTAAGTTTTAAATTTATTGTCTAATTTTCATCTTTTGTGGTTCTTTTAATTGATATAGGAACGTTTGAGCTTGTTCCAAGAGAAACTGCAGGAATTGATGGCCTTGAATAAAGGTAAGTTTGAATCTTTCTATAAATTTATCAGTGGTAGTGGAATAGATGAAGAAGTTGTGCCAGGAAGGCTATAAAGTAAATGATTTGCTAGACGTATAACTAGAGTGTCCACTTTTATACTATTGTTTCTGATCAGTAAAAAGAGAAGAGTATCATGCTTGCCTCCCATAACATGATGAAGAACGGGTGCTGGAGTAGATATTGAAATGATTTCTGTTTGTTCAGCATATTATAGTTATTGTTCAGAAAGCTTGATTTGTTTCCATATGACGTAACAAGGACAAATGTTGAATACTGACTATTCTCAATTTGTCCTATAAGCGCCATTGCGACCATCAGCAAGGATAAATCCGCAAGGTGCCGCTCGATTTATTGAGCATTCGTTGCCTGATCTTACACCTGGTAACTGCTAAACTGCTTTCTAAATGTGTGCAAGTTCCATTGTGTTTGGTTTGTCTTAAAACAAGTCTGTCTTGCAGATCAGAGAAAAAGCATGAGAGAAATCAGTAAAGGTGACGGGCCTAGGATTAAGTATCTGGAAAGAGTTGTTCATAAGAAGAGGAAGTATCCCGAGCAGCAATCTGTTCGAACTGCTACCCAGGAGTTTCTTGAGAAAGCTGCCCGTGAGCTTCTTGGTGAAAACCAGAGTGGTTTTAAGGGACCTTTACAACTGCCAGAGGGTGATGGTGAAGACGTACCTATGAGCTGATTTTCTGGTAGATTTTTAACTCATTTCTTCCAGTTTATATATTCTCTCTCTACTTTATGGTCTTGGTAGTTGCGGTGTTGGCATTTATTTTATCTTCTCAAAACATTTTCGTGATTTTCCTAATTCCAAGTGCATGTGTATATGATGTTGTGTGGGTATGGAATAAAGTTACTCAAATCTACCTCTTCTTTTGTTGAATTTGTAGTTGAGATATCGAAGAATTTTTTTTATTTCGTACGTAGAATTTTTAAAAAATATATTTCCAACACCAGTTGAACATATTAGTGACTCCATTGTTTTTCTCCATGGGAGAATTCATGACGTCTTCCATACATTGCCGTAGGAACTGTCTGATGCAGCTTCATATGGACCAAGTTTAACACGCTGTTCTAATGATGGAGATACTGAGGACATTCATTTTCTTTTTTTGAAACATCAAGAGATACTAAGAACATACATATAATTGAACTTTATTAGTAGGCTTCCTTTTTTTTCTATGAAAGAATTGAACAACACGTGTTTAAGAGCAAAGC